TTAGGATTTTTATCATCATTCTTCACAGCGCCAGTGCCAGCCACGACAGTGCCATGCCGCCGGCTGGTAACTGCCCGCTCGAGAGGATATGCGACGGCCGGGCGCTATTAAGCCCTCCCCCCACCCCACCCCCACCCCCCCACCTATGAATCCTAAAACGCACACGCCTACAGGGCAACCTGTGCGCCCGCTATTATTAAGTGCCTCACTGTCTGTCTAAGGGCCTCTGCATTAATGCTATGGAGACCCCGTTATTTCCTTCAAGGGCTTTGGAGATTCCCGGGGCTTGCGATCCTTGTTATGACCCTTCTTCAGGGACTAGGAGGGTAAATATAGAGGTTTACGGTTTGGGGATAGTATCCTAAACCCTGAGCCCCAAAACCCTAAGCCCTAAACCCATAAGTGTCTGCAGTCGCTTGGATGCACTTCAGCAGCCCAGGCGGTGTCGTGCAATTTGCGGCATCAAGCTCGAGCACGGTTGCTACTGGACACTGGGCATGGGAGTTTGGGGTAGAGGCTTAAGATTGGATACTATGGATATTTAAGGCCCTTAATAGTAGCTCTTACCATACATATGTCAGGCCCTTGATAGTAGCCCTATGATAAACGCTTACAGTATGGGTGGCAGTAGTGTAGGGGCCTTAATAATTAGAATAGGGTTTGGCATATATTATATACTATAAACATAATCAGGAATCCCAAAAACCCTATTCTAATTCTTCAGGCCCCTACAGTACGAAAGGTTTCGTCAGGGTGTTTACTGCCGGCCCCCCTGGTGCATGTACCCTTTCCGAAGCTCAAAAGTAGGGGCCCAAAACCCTTCTACTATGTTTCCATATCTGGTATATATATATATATATACATATATATATATATATAGAAGCCTAAATGATTATCAATATTTGTCCTTGGAGTTCGTTATTATAATTAGACGATAATGCACCCTCAAAGCCTTATTCTAAAAGGCTACTTATGAAGGCCCCTATAGTATCCTTTCCGAAGCCGATTCGTCCCCGTCTTCAGGATGCCGCTTTTGGGGTTCATGTCTGGGTTGTTTGGGGTTTTGGGGTTTAGGGTTCAGGGTTTAGGGTTTAGGGTTTCGTGGGTTTCATGGCTTTCGTATGTTCAAAGAGGAGCCATAACCTGCGCATCCCCTAGGGTCCTAAACGCTGGGATTTAGGTTTTAGGGGCTTATACGTTTATGGTAAACCGTACCTTCAACCCTAAACCCACAACTTCCTGGCAGGACTGCTGGATCGCACCAAACGGCCTCGGGCTTCTGGACGAAAGAGTGGCGGAACGGTCACTCGGTTCTGGAGTAGCAAGCTTTGTTGCTTGTGTGGGACATGCGCCTTAAAGGAACAATTATTGAAAAAGCAGTTTATATGTCGAAGCCCAGGTCATAATTGGGAAGGTCCTTCAGTGGATGGGCCAGCTTGGGTCTACATGGATGCTTCGTCGAGCGTTACGGCGGGGAGAGGTGTTTGGTGTGCGGCGGTGCTTGTGAAAAGCCTCAGCCCTAAGCCCTAAACCCTCTAAGCCCTAAGCCCTAAAGCCGTACAACCTAAACTCTAAACCCTCGAGAAGCCCTAAGCCCTAAAGCCGCACACCCTACATTCTAAGCCCTCGGAGCCCTAAACTCCTAAACGCCTTTAGGACTTTACTGTCTGGTGCTTAGTAGGGAATGGGAAAGGATCCCTATGATAGTCCCTTAAGGTCCCTTGTAGTAGTCCGTATAATCCATTCCCCCATTCCCTACTAAGCACCAGACAGTTTAGGGTGAACCCTAAACCCTAAACCCTAAACCCTAAACCCTAAACCCTAAACCCTAAACTTTGGGTTTCGTGGTTTTTGGGCCAAGCCCGAGCCCCAGCGTTCGAAGAGCCGCTGTTCAGGTCCGATGGAGTCCCCACTCTTCCGGCCCCAAAGGCTTTTAGGTTTTGGAGTTCAGGGTTTAGGGGTT